GAAACATGTTACCTACCTCCCAATACAAGGTGTATAAACATATATTTTTGGATGTGGCCACTGTGTGGATTCATTTTGTTTGAGTATTCTTTCATTACAAGGGTCGTTCCTCTTCATTATCTCAGTTAAGAGAAGTCAAATCAAAGAGGAATTAGCAATAATGATGCAAAAAATAATCACTAATACATAATGAAGTTCAGAAGACAATACAATCAGGTTCTTTTTTTTTGATGGGGGTGAGTTCAGAATTTTTTAAAAAGATGAATAAAAAAAGAAATTTTATGGGAGAAAGATGACATGGTCTAAGATGTGGTCGGTTTACAGGTAGAAAATATTCATAGTGGTAGGTAGAATGTAGAGACAGAGATTGCTGTGGCAATCCAAAGCTGGAGAAGCCATCCTAGAATCAGAAAGAATACACTATGAAGGAGAAAGGTAGATTTTTCCACAAAATTATAATTTATCACAGACAACTTCCTTACCCATTCTCCTAGACAAAACTCATACTTTACAATAGTTTGCCTTTTGCATCTTCCCACTGTCCATATCAGAGGACATTGTATTTAGAAAGGAACTTAGAGGCTCTTCTGAAAAGGAAGTAAAAGTGTGTGGGGGGGTAGGATCAAATTACTTCTTAGATAATTATGAATGCAATAGAACATAATCATGCCATAACAAATGATAGAGGACAATTTTAGAAAGTGTCAGGTAAAGGCCAGACTCAAGGTGGCAGAGTAAAGCAGGGACTCACTTAAGCTGTCCCAAATTCCCCTCCTAACAACTTTAAAATAATACTTTAAACAAACTCTAGCATGGCAAAACCAATAAACAGATGAGGTAAAATAATTTTCTGGCCCAAGACAATTTAGAAGTTCTCCAGGAAAGGTCCGTCTTGCTGGGTGAGACGGAGCTCAGTCCAACACAGGTCCCACCAAGGCAAGCCTGCAGCAGACCTTGGGGGTAACTGAAACGGCAGCAGCAACTTCTACAGCTCTAAGGCTACAGATAATAAGGCAGTCAGACAACTAATCAGAAGATTATAAAGGACCCTTTGCTGACATTGGGTGCAAGACTCTGTCGCATTTCCTATATATGGCTCCAGATCATAGTCCCAGGCCACGTAGAAGCACTAGGAAACTAGAGCATATGACCACAGGGGAGCGAGAACCTGATCACAATTCCAAGGCAGAAAAGAGTATCTGTAATCACTCACAGATCAGAGCACAGGCCAGGAGAACAGTGACCACACCTGTCCTTAGATCATACCACCTTGGAAGAAATAAAAACTTGTAGACCCCTCCATAATTAGCTCTAAAAACAGCAGCTTAAAAAACGTAAAGCTTCAGACAGTGCCCCATCTACCCTGGGAGCAGGGCCCAACTTTAACATAAAGTTAAAAGTCAAGAAGTAGGCTGGAAATATGAACAAACAAAAACAATTAAAAAAAGAACCTGACTGTAGAAAATCACTCTGGTGACAAGGAAGATCAAAACACAAACTCAGAAAAACACAACAAAGTTAAAACACCTACATCCAAAGCTTCAAAGAAAAATGTAAACTGGTCTCAGCCCAAAAGAAATTCCTGGAAGAGCTCAAAAAAGATTATAAAATTAAAATAAGAGAGGTAGAGGGAAATTGGGAGAAGAAATGAGAGTGATACAAGAAAATCATGGGGTGGGGGGAAAGAGTCAACAGCTTAGTAAAAGAGGCATATAAAAATGCTGAAGAAAATAACATCTTAAAAAACAATATAGGCTGAAGGGTAAAAGAGGTACAAAAATCCACTGAAAAGAAAAGTTCCTTAAAAAGTGGAATTGGTTAAAAGGAAAGAGAGGCACAAAAGCTTACTGAAAAAAATAATTCCTTAAAAAGCAAAATTGAGCAAGTGGAAATTAATAACTATGAGACATCAAGAAACAATAAAACAAAAGAATGAAAACATAGAAGAAACCGTGAAATATCTCATTGAAAAACAACTGACTTGGAAAATCAATTGAGAAGGAATAATTTAAGAATTATTGGACTACCTGAAAGCCATAATAAAAAAAAAAGATCCTAAACATCATCTTTCAAGAAATTACCAAAGAAAACTGCCCTGCTATACTAGAACCAGGGGGTAAAATAGAAATTGAATCAGCAATCACCTCCTGAAAGAGATCCCAAAATGAAAGCTTCCAGGAATATTACAACCAAATTCCAGAGCTCCCAGGTCAAGGAAAAAATATTGAAAGTATCCAGAAAAAAGAAACCTATTCAAATATTATGGAGTCACTGTCAAGATATCACAAGATTTAACAGCTTCTACATTAAAGAATCAGAGCACTTGCAATATGATATTTCAGAGGGCAAAGGAGCTAGGATCACAACCGAGAATCACTTGCCCAGCAAAATTGATTATAATCATTCAGAAGAAAAAATGAACATTTAATAAAACTTTCTAGCATTCCTGACAAAAAGACCAAAGCTGAATAGAAAAATTGACTTGAGAAGCATAAAAAGATGAACAAGAAATAGAAATCATAAGGATTCAATAAGATTAAATTGTTTGCATTCCTACATGGGAAGATGATACTTAACTTCTAAGAACTTTATCATTACTACAGCAGTTAGAAGGAATATACATAGATAGAGGGCAGGGGTGTGAGATGACCATGACAGTATGCTATGAAAAATAAAAAATCAAATTAAATTAAGGAGTGAGAAACAGGGATATACTGAAAGAAGGGGGAAGGGAGTGGCAGAATGGGGTAAATTTTCTCACATAAAAGAGATGAGAAAGCTTTTACAGTGGAGGGGAAGAGGGTTGAGGGGGTGATGGACAATGCTTAATCTTTACTCTCATCATAACTGGCTCGAAGAGGAAATAACATATAGGTTCAATTGGGTAATGAAGTCTATCTTACCCTACAGGGAAGTAGGAGTGGAAGGCAATGGGGGGCTTTCATAGAGGGGGATAATAGAAAGGGGGAGTAGATTTGGGGAGGTGGTGATCAGAAGCAAAACATTTTTGAGGAGAGAGTGAAAGGAGATAGAGAAGGACAAGTGGAAAAAATAGGATGGAGGGAAATACACAGAAATCATACTTCGGAAGAGACTTTTACAGCAAGTTTCTCTGAAAAAGGCCTCATTTCTCCTATATATAGAAAACAGCATCAAATTTATAAGAATGAAAATCATTTCCCAAATGATACATGGTCAAAGGCTATGAACATGCAGTTTTCAAATGAAGAAATCAAAGCTATCTATAGTTATAAGGAAAAAATTCCTAAATCACTATTGATTAGAGAAATGCAGATTAAAACAACTCTGAGTTACCACCTCATACCTACCAAATTGGCTAATATGACAAAAAAGGAAAACGACAAATGTTGAAGGGGATGTGGGAAAATTGGAACACTAAAGTACTGTTGGTAGAGTTGTGAACTGATCCAAACATTCTAGAGAGCAATTTGGAAATATGGCCAAAAGACTATAAAACTGCATACCCTTTAACCCAGAAATAGCACTACTAGGTCTGTACTCCCAAAAAGAAAGGAAGGAAGGAAGGAAGGAAGGAAGGAAGGAAGGAAGGAAGGAAGGAAGGAAGGAAGGAAGGAAGGAAGGAAGGAAGGAAGGAAGGAAGGAAGGAAGGAAGGAAAGTGAAAGGAAGGAAGTGAAAGAAAGAGAAAGGCGAAAGGACCTATATGTACAAAAATGTTTGTAGTAGCTCTTTTTGCAGTAGCAAAGACTTGGAAATTGAGAGTATATCCTTCAACTGGGGAATGGCTAAACAAGTTGTGGTATATGATTGTCATGGAATACTATAGAAGCGATGAGCAGGGGCAGCTAAGTGGCACAGTGAACAGAACTCTGACCTTGGAGTCAGGAGGACCTGAGTTCACATCAGGCCTCAGACACTTGACACTTACTAGTTGTGTGACTCTGGGCAAGTCAATTAACCCCAGTTGCCTCACCAAAAAGCAAAAAGCAAAAAAAAAAAAAAAGAAAAAGAAATGATGAGCAGATGCTCCCAGAAAAAAACTGGAAAGATTTACACAAACCAATGCAGAGTGAAGTAAGCAGAACCAGGAGACCATTGTACACAGTAACAGTAATATCATGTGATGATCAACTGTGAATGACTTAGCTATTCTGAGAAATACACTGATCCAAGATAATTCCAAAGGTCTTATGATGAAAAATGTTATCCACCTCCATAAAAAGAACTGATGGAGTCTGAATGCAGAGTAAAGCATCCTTTTGTTTACTTTCTTTATCTTCTCTTATTTTTTGTTTTTGTTTTGGTCTATGTTTTCTTTCCAATGTGACTAACAGGGAATATATTTTGCATGACCACACATGTATAAGCTATTTCAAATTGCTTGCCTTCTCAATTGAGGGGAAACAGGAGGGAGACAATTTGGAATTCAAAATTTTTTTTAAAATGCTAAAAATTGTTTTTATGTATAATTGGAAAAAAGAAAATATTTAAAATTATTAAGATAATATAAAAAAAGAAAATTTCAGCTAATTTGAATTAACATCCCTCCCCTAGCTCTGCTTCAACATCCCCTCTAACTCACACATTTTACAAATGAAGAAACTGAGCCTTGGGAAATGAAATAACAGGTACCCATCCTTACTCCTAGTATCCATTCCCTTCCCCCAGGCATTATTTTGTGTCCATTCTTGCTAATGTCAGCTGAGGTGTTATTTGATATAAAAGCCCTTAAAAATTAATATGTGTCCCATTTTTAGGATTATTTGCAGTTTTTCAAAAGCATTCTTGAAGATAGGAAAGCTTTCAAAATACAAAGGAATGATGCTAAAATGAAATAATGGTAGCTATAGGGAAGGGTATGACCCAGTTATAGATTAAAAACAGGCAAAATCCTGAAGGAAATCTGACACAGGTGCCCCCTTCAATATAAGAAATGGAATTAACTGGGGAGGATAAGATGATCATGGTCTAGATGCATTTATCCCCCCTCCCCACCATCCACACCTCCACACATACATACATGTTTCTCTGTGTTTCATGCCCTCCTTCATAGTAATCCAACTTCAAGACTAAATATTAGGCCAGAGCAGAAGGAACACTCCTCATGACAATTAAGCCAGGTGAGGCAAGGAGGCAGACATTCCTTGAAGGGGGAGGGGAGGGGCGCTTGGGATGAGGTGGGTAGGCTGAAAGAGAAAAGCACAGTTGCAAGGAGATGTGGGTTTGAATCCCGATGGTAGGGGAGCTGCTGATCTGCTCAAACAGGAGTGTGTGTGTGTGTGTGTGTGTGTGTGTGTGTGTGTGTGTGTGTGACACAGAGAGAGAGAGAGAGGGAGGGAGAGAGAGAGAGAGAGAGAGAGAGAGAGAGAGAGAGAGAGAGAGAGAGAGAGAGAGAGAGAGAGAGAGAGAGAGAGACTGTCAGTTCCCCAAACTACCCATACACATACCTGGAGTTGCAGAAACAACCCCTGTTCTAAGCCTATCTCTTCCTTGGCCTCAATTCAAGTCTCCTGGCCATCTCCTCCTTGGGGTGAGATCCCTGCTTACTCTGTCACTCCTTTCTGCTGACATCCAGACTTCAAAGGCTGAGGCAAAACACTTAAAGCTGGGCACTGTTCATTCCAGGGCAGGCCAATAAGGAAGCTACCTTACAGAATGAATTGGGGTAGACAATGAGAAACATTTGTTCCAACTATCTTCATCGCACCTGGCCTGGGGGCCCTCAGCAAGGGAAGTAGAAATTAGGAAAGGGCCTATGCATCTGTTCTTCTCTCCCATCCTTCTCCTGCCTTCACCACACTGTCCACAGGCCTAACCTCCTCTGGGTGTCTGAGACACCCCAAGTTTCAGCTGTTGGGGTCAGTAGGGACTGATGAGGCTACAATGGTCTTATCGTAATGGAGAGTTGTTATGACTCCCTGTCCTCCCACCACCTCTCCCCCAATCCTTCCTTTCAGTATGGACTAGATGAAGTCATCACTCAATGTTGTTAGCTGAAAAATGCTTTATGTAGGAGGGAATACAGTACAGGAATAAGAGGACCTGAGTTCAAATTCTGCCTCTGATGCTTAGATGATACCTGTCTCCAATGTCTATCATAAAAGATATGTCTATGACCTTAAGTGAATCACATCACTTCCTGGCACCTCAGTTTCATCATCTATAGAATGAATTGCTTGGATGCTATGGCCTATAAGATCCCTCCCAGTTCTACCCAGATCTATGTTTTTAGAAAGCTGGATGGTTCGGTAGGAAGAGGGGTGGCCCTAGAATAGGGAAATTCCAGCTTTAGACACTTACTAGATGTTTGACCTTGGGCAAGTCACTTAATCTCTGTCTGCCCCAATTTCCACATTTCTAAAAAAGGGTTAATAATATCATCTACCTCCCAAGAGGGATGTTAGGATAAAAGGAGATAATATTTGTGAAGATTTGTAAAGCTACTCAAAGTGCTGTATAAACGTTTTTGTTATTGTGTTATAGTAACAGTCGACTCTTCATGACCCCATTTGGGGTTTTGTTGGCAAAGATACTGGAGTGGCTTGCCATTGCCTTTTCCGGATCATTTTACAGATGAGGAAACTGTGGCAAATTGGGCTAGGTGACCTGCCCAAGGTCATACAGCTAGCAAGTATCTGAGGCTAGATTTGAACTCAGGATTTCAAGATGAGATTTCCTGATTCCAAGTCTAGTGCTCTATCTGCTGCACCACCTAGCTGCCTATAAATGTTAGCTATTATTTTTACCCTGTGAAATAAGATCTTATGTGAGGAAATTTTAAGAGAGTTTCACAAGAATGCAACTATGAAAGAAAGAGGTGTACCATATTTCTAGGTTTGGAAGAATTCTCATGTTAAAATTACTCTTTATGCCTGTACTATAGGGGTGAATCCTAACTTCCCTTGGGATTTGCCAGGCTTCTTCTTTCTCCCCAGTAAATATGCTAAAATTCTCGGTGTCCCATTGCTCTAAATCCCCTCACTCCTCAGGCAGACATTTGCTCCTACTGGTATCCTGCATTTGGATGCTGTGATTTCTTTTACTGCTTCTTTTGTTCCAAAAGGTCATGCTTTTTCCCCCTCCAACTTTCTGCAGCAAAATTAGAAACAAAGGCTAGCATGTTTTTAACGGGAAATAATCAGAACCAATTTAAATCACAAGGCCATGATATCTGAGTGGACATCCCATGTCCTAAATTACAAACCGGAGGAACCGAACTCATCCAAATTATATCCCCTGGAAAAAGCATCAAGAATGGAAATACTGACAGACCTTAATCGGGCCCCAGAACTAGCAGGTGTTGTTACAATGTGAATGGTGTATGTTGCCAAAAACATGCCTGGTATGATTTTGTGCAGAACCAGGAGGAGGGAATTTTAGTGTGTCACCTACTTATTGAACATCTGCTACCAGCCATTGCAGGAAAAGGAAAAGGGAAGAGCTGGCTAGTCAAGCAAAAAGATCAGACAGAGCTGGGAGGGACCTTAGAGGTCATCTAATATATTTTCATACCTTTATGAGGCTCATAATGCTCCCAAGTGTCCCTTGAACTGGATTAAAATGAGGAAACTGAAGCACAGAGGTTGTGATTAAGTGTCTAATAAATAGAAAAGGTGAGATTCAAGCCCACATCTTTTTGACTCCCAATCCAATGTTCTTTTCCTAATGCTGTGTTACTACTCAGAAAATGACCTACTAACCTCTTAGGTCCTTGAACTTAAATAGTTATTGTTGGGAATGTTAGTTATTATTATTGCTATTATGTGTCTATATGTACCAGGCATTGTGCTAAGCATTGAGGCTACAGAGAAAGGCAAAAGACAGTCCTTTCCCTCAAAGAGCTCATGGTTTAATGGGGGAGACAACATGTAAACAACCACATACATACACAGGATAAATAGAAAATTATCAGCACAGAGAAGGTATTAGAATTAAGAGAAAAGGCAAAAAGAACATATGATGGAGGTGAGGGTAGGCCAAAATTCAGATTAAAAAGGTAACTGTTATACAGTTTACGTTAGTTGTTATAGTACACCCTAGTCTTCAGCACACAATGTAAGACGTCTAGCCTACCTTTCTTCTTTCCCTTCCTCATTTTCTTTTTCCCAGGTGTGGCCTTGACATGAGTTTGACCAGCTAGAGTTGCCATGCTTATTCTCCCAGCATCTGCTTCTCCAAATGGGATTATGGAGCATGGGGATCCAGGGTTTAGGCAAAGACATCCTTTCTACAAGCCAAGCAGAGCTGGGGATACCCCAGGCTACAACCCAGGAAAGTTCTTCCTTCCCTTTGTAAACTTGCAAAAAGCCCCCACATTGATGCCCCTTCTCCCATGGCCTCCAAGCTCTGGGCCCTCCTTCACCAACATCAGAAGGCTTCCACATTCATGCCTCTTTGAAAGCTACTCAGTCTCTCCTTTTACTGTTTATACCACGGCTACCTCTCAAGAAGTATATTATTCTTATTTCTGACCAGGTATAGCATTTATGGTTTGGTTTCCTCTTCCACCTATGTTATTCAGATTGTGGCCAACATAGTCTAGTCCATTCTTACTCACTATAATCATTATACTCTTCATTATACCAAGCATAGTTTTGCTCAATGTGTCTCTGCTTTATCTGTTCATTGAACTACCTTCTTGGGTTATAATCATGAGAGGGAAAGTCTCAGCTGATAAATTTAGGCACATTCTAATTGGCAGAGTCCATGGAAAATTTATATCACACATTGGTTACCCTTAGGAACTGAGAAGACCAGGTCCCATCCCATAAATAAATAAAACAAAAAGATTTCCACTCCCAAAGCCCTCTTTTCCCTGAATACATGGGGCCAACTTGGGCTCTGAACCCTACAAGGAAACCCAAGGGAATTAAAACCTGTCTCACATAAAGATGAACAAAGACAGAACAAAGATCACTGTTGTTCACAGGAGCTCCCCTGCCTCCGCAGCTTGGTCCCAATAGGTAGGGATGTCAATCTAGCTTTGTGTTAGGGTACACTCTGGCTTCTACAGGACTGCATGGGTCAGTTTGGGGATCACCAGCATCATCCTCTTATAGCAATACTCTCTATGAGTGGCACTGATAGATTTGAAGTCCCTCTGCCAGTTGGCTGGATGGATGCAATTCCTCTTGCACCCTGGACTCCTGCCTTCAGTGTGCTATCATTCTAATAGGCATGTCAATCCATCTTCTCTATTGGTCTACATCAGGAGCCTTCCATTTCTGTCGAATGAAAGAAAATGGCCACCAGCTCCAAGCACACCTCCCTTTACCAGCCACTCCTTTCACTGCTGTGGAAAACAGCTTCTAGCAGCGCCAACCATTGCTTGCCCTATTCTCCATAAGGAGTGTTTTTCCTTCTGCTATACCTGCTGTGGCCTTGTTTTAACTCCTGCTTTCAATGATAACCATCCCCTATGGCCTCATCATGCACCTGAACCCAACAGCTTCTTCCTGACTCAGCTCCAAAGACCTAGGCCTGGCTTCCAGGCGAGCTCAGCCAGAGCCTCCACTTTGCAGAGCTAAGCTAAAAGACATGGCAGAAGGCCAATAGAGAAGAGAAATTCTCTTATCCTCAGCTAAGAATCACTGACCCACTTGAGTCCCTCTCCCCTGGGTTATATCCCACATATTAGGTGTTTTTACTCTCTTTATATATAAATTTCAGAGCATACCAATATATCAACATATTCTAATCCTATCAATATACACAGATATAGATGGATGGATGTACATACATAAATACATATATAATGTATAACAAATAAATAATAGCTAAAATTTATATAGTGTTCTCTATGTGCCAGATACTGTGCTAAGTGCTTTACGATTATCTCATTTAATCCTCACAACAACCATGGAGGTAGATGTTATTATTATTATCATTTTACATATGAGGAAACTGAGGTAGACAGAGGTAAAGTGATTTGCCCAAGGTCACACAGTTAAATAAACATCTAAGGCCAGATTTGAACTCAAATCTACCTGATTCTAGTCCTGGCACTGTATCCATGTACCATCTAGCTGCCCCTAGAAAGCCATCAGAAACATACATAATATGCATGTATATATACATATATACACATGTATGTATGCATTTATATGTGTATGTATATGTATTTAATGTACCACAAGGAGTTAATCAATGCTCTAGGACAAGCATACAACAAACATCAACAGGGTCTATTGTAGAGGTTCCCAAACTTATTTGGCCTACTGCTCCCTTCTAAAAATAATGTTACTCCATGCACCCCTGGAAATCTATTTTCTTTAATGCTTTAATTTTTAAAAAAAATTTGTGACATTTTAAAAAAATACAAAATATTTTAAATGACAAATCTTACATTTAATAATTTATTATTGTGAATTTGTGAGTTTTTTTCCTGCATTGAAATTTTAATGATAATTATTACATCATGTAACTGGATAGCATTGTATTTTAAACAAGTCATTACATGCACATATTCCTGATGATGCATGCTGGACTTCCCGACAATGCACCACATGCTTGCCTGCCAACACTTACTTGTTAAGACCTGTCCAAGGACTTATTCATTGATCAGTTGTAACTTGCATTTTGTGTGTTTATTTGGAAAATAATGTTATCACTGCAACTTTAACTCTGCTACACAACAGATGAAATATGTATGAATGGCTTTTCAAAATTTTCTTCTGTTCTTTCCTTATGCTTCCACAATCCCCTTATTTTTATTCAATGCCCCCCAACTGCAACCAAGCCTACTGCCACTGCCCCATCATTCCAACACCCCCAGGGGGTGGTATCACCCACTTGGGGAGCCTCTGGCTAGT